TTGAACTGGTTTGTGTTCTGAGGAGGCAAAGCCTGACTGCCCAGAATTGGTCTCACTGCCCTTGAGGGGCAGTCAGGACCAGCCAAAACCCAGGTCCAGTAGTACCTGAGGCAGGACCTGCTGTCTATTCTTCCTCTGTGCATCTGTAATCAATTGTGGTTGGTTCAATATTTGCAGCAGATTAGAGTTTCATTTGTATTCTGCACACCTCTGCTCTCTCCTGTGTGTGTGTGTGTGTATGGATATATATATCTCTCTCCAGAAAAGCTGCTGCATATCCTTGTTGGTTTTTTTTTTTTCCCCCAGGATGACAGATACTGTAACAATGGCAGTAGATTAATATCTCCTTAATCAGCCAAATGAACATGACATACAAGGGTGACAGCTCAATTTGCTGCTAACAGATTGTGCCTATCACAGCCCTTCCATTCCAACTGATGGTTATTTCTGGAAGAGATCATACGGTTGTGGGAGGACTCCACGAGCTCTGAGACTCCCATTAAATACATCAAGTACCACATAGGTGTTATTCACCCTCCTGTCAGGACATTCCTGCCTGGGGAATGAAATGAGCCTTGACACGTGCAGAGGAGAGACACTGAGCTGGGGAGGGGTGGTTTTGGCTGCAGGTCCCTCCAGTGCTTGTCATTTTTGTTTGCCTGTGGACTGGTCCCAGTTGAAGTGTGGCCCCCACACTGGGGCGTGTCCTGGGGAGGCAGCATGGGAGGGGCAGCAATCTGGGGAGGAGGGGTACATCAAATCTGAGCCCCACAGCTGGCTGTGCTCGCAGTTTGTTTGCAGGTGGGGGTTTCAGGAGGCTCTGGTTTCTGATTATGAAATTCAGCCCACGGGGTTGAACCCAAAGCTTTCTTCTCCTGCTCCCTGTGGTGTTTCAAATGAAGTGACCCCATGTGCTGTGCCCTCCTGGACCAGTGGGTTTGCTGATGTGCAGAGCTGTCCCCAGCCCTGGAAGGTCTGACCCTGCAGCCCCCAGTGCTCGCTGGGGGGCTGGAACTGGACACTTGGCCCTTGCTGGCTGAACCCCACGGGTTTATTTTCATTGTCATCTCCTGCCTCTGTTGAGACACCCCCCCCAGTGCTCTGCCCACGCTGATTTTGCAGTCCCACCCAAGTGCACAGACCACGTTTGCAGAGCCCTGCAGGTCCCATCCACAGACAGGGGTCCCCCCAAACCTCCCAGCAGAGTCACTTCAGCACTCTCTGGGCCTCCCAGGGAGTGGTTCTGCACAGCTCCCGGCAGTTTCCTTCACTGCAGACATCAGGCATGTTTATATTTGAAAGATAAAATGTAAGTAGTTTGAGTGGAAAAGATTTCCATGGCAAAATTGGCAATATATTACTGAAACAATGGCATTAGGATGCATCCATATGATTGTAAGGGTTCTGTCATTCCCTGCACTTGCCACAATTTCTGTCATGCAAATGTGTTCATTATTTTTATCATTTTTTTTTCTTCTTATTACGGGTTTTGCCATAAGAATAACTCATCAAGGTTTTATGACTAATAAATTCTCTAAATTACAGTCCAAGGATGCATTACTTTAATTTTTTTCCTCCGTATTCTGTTTTTAATTGCCATGTTATTTCCCACTTGAGTTTTTTAATGACTCGTTAGGCTTAAGGGGAAAGAACAGAATTGAGTCCCACAAAGATCTTGCATCAAGTTTTGGACACTTCAGAAGGGAAGTCCTACATTAAGAGAGGAAAAATGTGACTTGTGTGTCTCGAGAGGAGACTTCAGATTTGAAGTATTGAGGATATGCAAACGAAACCAAACCCCTTAGGAGAGCCCCAGACCAGGTATTGTTTATTAATTATTTGAACAATTATTTCTAATGGGAAATGCAGTCAAGATGTCCATGGTTTTGGCAAGATAGGGATATATGCATGACCTTTAATGTGGAAATGGATCTCCTGGGATCATTTCAGAGTTCTGAAGACTAAATTTAGATGTGTCCTTAAAAACTGCATGAAATCAGGACTGGAGGGAATAAAAGGTGACATTTTTGGTTACAAATTCTGTCGGTGGGCTTTGTGCCTTGCTGTGTGGCGCTGACTGGGGGCAGGCAGGCACCTGCAGGTGTCTGTTCTGGAACAAAAGGGGACACTGAACCCACTGCCCATCCCAGCAGTGCCAGAAATGGGCTCCAGGATACCTGCCACGGTACCTGTGTCAGCAAACTGGGACCAGAAAAACGCATTTTCAGCTCCAGCTGCAGGAGGGGGTTCCCAGCAGCGGGGAGTGACCCCTAAGCAGGGGTCCTGCTCATCCCAGGCAGTGACAGCTAATCCAGGGATCCAGGGGAAGGTGGCTGAGTGGTGCTGGAGCAGCAGCCTGTTCCAGGTGGGAGGCAATGAATGACCAAAGCTGAGGAGGAGCACGGATATAGTGCAGGATGTATTTCAGAAGGTATCATATATATTTAGGAAAGTGGGAAATCTGCTTAGTATTAATAGACATTATTTGTTTTGTGATTGCAGCAGGGACTTGGCTGTGCTGGGCCCTCTGTAAGGACACCAAGTTTGTCCCTTCTCAGGACGTGTCACCACCCGTGCTGGAAGAGCTCAGCTGCCGCACTTCCAGGTCCTGTCTCTGCCGGGGGCTTAAACACTTTAGGAAGACCTAAAGAGCGAGGTAAAGCCCGTTGACTACATGCTGGAAAAGCAGAAGTTTGCTCTGTGAGTACCCTCCGAGCCGCTCTAGAGGGAGGCAGAGAGCCATCGCTCCGGGAACGGTCCCTGCTGTACGTGCAGCACAATCAGCAGCGACAAAAAAAAAGCGCTCTTTGTCAAGCGTGTTTCAGGTGGCAGCGCAGGTTCCGCCAGTGGCAAAGTCCTTAAATATTCACCTCCATCACTGGCTCAGCAGGATTTTGCTCTTGCAAAAGCTGTTCAGCACTTTCCCTGCAATTGCAGCTCCTCGATTGCAGCCCTTCGAGTGCAGAACCAGAGGGTGCTTCGGGAAACCGGCTTGGAATTGGGTTCTGGCTAATCAGGACTGGAAGTCGGAACAAAGTAGTCCAAGTCCCCCCCGTCTGGGCTCCCAGGGTAATTATTTCACACGTGGGAGTGTTACTTAATTGTGCTCCTCGTTCTTTCTCCTTTCTCTGCTGACCAGGAGCAGTTTGCTGTGGAAGTCTTCCCACGCGGATTTGGGGATTCCACTGGATGCTTTTTTGGGCTTCACTCACAAAATCGTAGATTTGGGAACCCAATGTGAGATAAAATCCATCCTCACTGCAGCTGATGAGCTCCAGCCCAGGTTTGCAGAAAGTCTTCTTCTAAAACATTTTTTGCTTCATTTTTTTTTTGGTGTTTTTTGTTTGTTTGTTTGTTTGTTTGTTTGTTTTTCAAGCCCTAAACTGGGACAATATAATTACTAAATAGATTTTATTTAGTATCAATTTTTCACATGTTAGTGTTCCCGCTGAGGCCTGTGCTTTTTTGAAAATTAGACTCACCCAGGGCACTGCCCGCTGTGATGTGGCCATCCCCTACACCCTGTGCCTTGGGAACTGATGGAACTGGCCTGGCTCTCCTGCTCCTCGGGCTGGTTTGAGCCTCACAGAGTCCTGTGTGTGAAGATCTGAAATGCAGTTCACCACAGCACACACGATGTAGAAATCTGCAGCTTGTTAGCCGGGAAAATTCCATCCCAGGGAGCTGTGGGTCACACAAAAGGGTTTGCAGAAGCACTGCCCCAAAATGATCCCACTGCAGTCCCAGTTAAAGGCCCAAAACATCTGCATGTGGGTTTGCAGGCCATGGTTTCTCTCTGGTAACTCAAGTCCTAACGTGCATTAACTGTTTAAAACCAATTTCGTTGCAGTTAGAATTGAATATGACTCTTAGTCTAGAAAATATGGCCTATTTCCTTTTACTAGTTAGCTTTTAAAGGTGTTTTACAATTCAAATGAGCCATGCAATTAAAGGTGACATTGCCAAAACTGGACAGACTAAAATTAGACATTCCTGCTGTGTGTTAGAGCTTGGCCCACATTTAGATCATGCTGTCTTTGGGCTGTACCTGTCTGCTCCAATCTTATGAGTCAACAGGACACTGAAACGTTCCAGAATCCTGTTGTGTTTTTCAATTCTTTCTGTCTTCCAAGATTACCTGATCCTTCATTCCCTCTCCAGCATGTAGTGCTCCGAGCACACTCACTCACACTTGTGCACGCACAGGACAGTGTGAGTGGTTTTTGCACTTTCTGGCTTGACCACGAGAAACACCCCCTGCCTGAGATGCCAGAGCTGCCCATGCCAGGGCTCAGCAGTGGCAGGGTCTGTGTGTGCCTGTCCCTGATAAAGCAGGGCTGGGGGGAGCTTCCCCAAGCTTTGATCTGGAGCAGCCCGGCTGTAACACTTGAGTTACAAGGCTGTTGAGAGAAGGGTCCTCTCCCACCCAGGGGTGGGAGCTGGAGGAGCACACGGGAGGTCACTGACATCACCCCCCTGTGCATTAATTAATGTGTAATTATGCTGTCCCTGGGCAGTGAGTGACGTTAACGTTTAACACTGTGCAGGATTTGGGAACAACGTGTTAGTGAGGAGACTGCTGAGCCCTCCAGTCAATACCTCCAGGGAAATTGGAAAGTCAGAAGTGAGGAAAATGTCCCAGGAAGTGCCTGTTGTGCTTTGAACACAGGATGTGGCCATAAGGAAAATCCTCCTTCATTTCGTTTCAGGCTCAGCTCCGTGGATTTAATAATGGCATTCCTTGAAATCAGTGAAGTTGGTTGTGTCCTCTTCCAGCCCACTGTAAGGCTGGGGAACTTGGGTGACTTGTCTCATATCAGTGCACCTGAATGGCCTGGAATGATGGTGTTCCCTGTTATCAGGATACAGCTGCTTTGTGGGAGAGGGGGCAAGGTTTTGGTGTTTCTGTTGTGCTGCTAAACTTCTGTGTTATAAAATGGCATATAAATAGCATATAAATATGCTAAACCCTCCTTCCCTGGGTGTTGTTGCAGCCTGTCCCTGGGAACAAGCTCCCAACCCCCTGATCCAGGAGCAAGGACCGTTCCCTACAAAACGAGGCCCTTTTTATGGCTCCAGGGCTGAGATCCAGCCCTTCCCCTGTCCCTTGGAAACCCAGCCAGTCGTTTGGGCCAGTGCTTTGACTGCAGCCCAGGTTGGTAGCTCTGCCTGCTGAGTGACCTGTGTGAGCACAGCTCTTGGTCCCACTCCAGTTCCTGATGGAAAGGTGCCCGGACCTCCTGGCGGGAGCGGAGGGGGATTGGTGGCCAGGAGAGCTGGGGAAGCACCACGGAGGCAGAGCCCACTCCCAGGGGTGGTCTGCTCAGGCCAGGACACGAGGAAGCCTCCCTGGCTGTGCCTGCTGGCTGGAGAACATCTCTGCCAGGGTGTGGTGGCACCGCTCCCACCTCCTGTGAGTGCTGGAGGGTTGGTTTGGGGGAGTGGACACTTGAAAAGCTTAAATCCACTCCCTGGTGCCACAGGGAGCTCCAGCCATACAGGGGTTTTCTGTACCAGTGATTCCTGGAGTCAATGAGGGGTTTGTGGAGAGTGGAGAACTTGTAAAAATAACAGGAACTGGGGTGAACTTGTGTGAGGATGATGATAATTTACCACTGGGATTGCTTCCTCAGGGACACGGGGAACTCTGCACCTCCAACAGCCACACCAGCGGGGCTGGAGCTTCCCTGCACCCTCAGATGAGGAGCCAAAAGTTCCCTCAGCATCTCACCCCCACCTCTGTCGCTGCAGCAGCAGGTACAAATGTGTTCCCTGGCTCAGGGACACGTAAATCCCGACTGTCAGGGAACAAAGTCGTTTTTAAACTTTAACGAGCAGAGTAATGGAAATGAAATACAAAGGGAATGAAAAAAAAAATTGACTAAAATGTCTTTTTATTTTGGTATTCTGCAGCAAAAAGTGTGTGCACTAAATAATAAATAAGCCATGCAATGTTTTTACAGCTTCTTTCATATGCGTGAATATTTAAAACATGCAAAAATGTGGAATAGGCATTTACTGGGGACAAAAGAAGAGAACTGATTTTATGTACAGGGAGCAAGATGGGAAAACCAGAGAGATGCATGTTTAATGGATTGCTGCTCACAGAAGGCAGATATTTCCAAGTGTGAACATATTTGTAGACAAACCAATCTGACAAGTCGGCTGGGGGATGATGTATTACAGCAGAATTGGCCTGGGAAGCAGGATTGTGTTGTGTGGGTGCTGGTGGTGTAAACAGTGCCTGGGGGACTGGCAGCCAAACCCTGGAGCCTTCCAGCTCCCACGAGGCTGCTCAGACCTGGGGAGGGACCTGGCAGCTCCTGGGCACGTTCAGCAGCAGAGCACACGGGGCTGATTTGCTGAGCACGCTTAGCAGGGTCAGACACCCCTTCACAGACAGAGTGCTGTGTCAGGTGAGTGCACAGGGCAGCCCTGGATGCTCTCCTGGTGCTCTCTGAGGCTCCAACTCCTGCCTCAGCCTCCTGCTCCTGAGGCTCCCCGTGGACTCCCCATCCCTGGGAGTGTTCAAGGCCAGGCTTGGAGCAGCCTGGGCTGGTGGAAGGTGTCCCTGTCCAGGGCAGGGGGGTGGAACAAGGTGGTTTTTAAGTTTCCTTCCAAGCCAAACCGTTCTGGGATCCTGGGATGCCTGTACTGACCTTCCCAGGGGAAGGAGTGACAGGCTGGGGAAGTGAGTGTGAGTTTGTCAGGGACTTTCTCCACGGAATCTTGGCTCGTTCCTTTGTGCTGGGAAGTAGCTGAAACCAGAGAAAGAGCAGCCTGTTGCCCTGACTGGCAGGGGCTCACTGCTCACTGCTCCTTGGCTTATGGTTTAATGCTTCTTTAACTGGATTTTTTTTTTTTCCTCATGACTTTTGATTTCTTTCTGCCAACTTTATATTTTAATGCATGTTTTTATGGAAATATTTATAGTGCACATGTTGCATATAAAACACTATCATAAAGCTTTTTTGCCTCAGTCCTGTTGAAATAAATGATGTTATTATTATAATAATTTCATAGAGTTATATCTGTTCTGTAATGAAAAAGACCTGTGGCTGCTTGAACCATCAACCCAGGCAGTTTTTACAGCTTTCTGTAGCTCCAGTGACCTCATGGAGCTGCTGAAGCTTTTAAAATACTCCATTTCCCAGCAGAAGTGGGCACACAAAGCAGAAGTGCTGCGCTGCGTCTGCCTGAGCCCTGACCAAGAAATCATCATGGGCTTACTGTTGCACACAATGGTAATGTTATATTTTGTGGTATTTGTTACTGCACCACCAGAAATCCTGCTGTCTGCCTGCCAGATGAGGTGCCAGGGAAGCTGCCCCAGTGAGATGGATGGATATGTTCATCTGATAACGACGGATGGACCTCTGCACTTGTAAAGGACTTTTTCCTCTACTGAAAGTGAGTCCAGGCCTGAAATTACAGAGACTTCTTGTCCACCTTCAGCTCAGCAGACACTGAGTGGTGTTTCTCAAGAAGGACAGATCCAAACACATGTTGGAAGGCTGACACGTGTGCCTGGGGAGCCACTGTGAGAAGAACAGGACTAAATATGTGAACATCCCCTTGAATAAGTTTATGGAGATGTGTGTGCCTGTGCGTGCACACTCACCAGCTTTAATGATAAATCTGCAAAGGGCTAAAGCAAACAACTGCAAAGTACTGTGGATTTACAGGAGATTTTAAAAATTAATACTCAAACACGAAAATGCTTTATACAAGAAAGAAACCTTTTAGTAACTTCTCCATCCTAGAAAAAAAAAATTCTAATGAATAATTCAGCTCTGTGCCAAGGAAACTGATTTGCTGAACAAGTGTAAAATCAATCTGGGGGCAAACTGGTCCAGATCACCCAAATTAACAGTCTGGATCAGGAATGAGGGTAAAGCACGAAGGCCTCTGTAATATTGTTATTAGTAGTGTTCTTTATTGTCACTAATCTTGTTTAGCACCACAGTGCCACAGAATCCTGGGGATGTTGCTGGTGTGAATGGTCCTCCAGGAACCCATCAGAGGAAAGTTTGGAATGCTTCCAGTCTGGTAAGTCAGGAGATGGGGCAGGAGAAGGCATCACACCTGGGCTGGCAGCTCTGCCGTGGTGGGATGTGGTCAGAAAGTGAAGGTCCAACAGCAGGTTTGCATCAATTTCAGTAAAAGCAGTAAACATTGAGTGAAAGTCACCTGAACAGCCCTGGAGTTCTGCAGCTTTGGGGACTCTCTGCAACTGTTCATGTTATCCTGAAGAATTACCAAAAGATTGTTTAATCTTTGCAGAGACCACAGCAAGGTGACCCTGGAGAAGGTGCTGGTGTTCCCTTGTTCTCAGTTTTGCAGCTTGAAATACTTCCCTCAGTTCCTGCTGCTGCCTTCCTCTGCAAGCTCGAGTGTGAGCTGGAGTCCCATGGAAAGTGGTGAGATTAAACTGTGTGCCAGGAGAGCTTTGCTGGTTAGAGCTGGTTTGTCCATAGAACAGGACCCAAATTTGTTCTCTTCAGAAATAAATGCCTCAGTTATCCCAGAATAACCCCAAGACACAAGCCAGTAGTGAGTCTCTAATACAGAGTGCAGATAATACTGTAGATTTTAAAAGCATTTCAGACTCGGTGCCATTTTGGGAGCAGCTGCACCTGCAGAAACACCTGCTGTGTCCTGTTTGTCAGATCTGCAGACCAGCAGTTGAGTTCAATGGCTGAGAGCAAAGCTGAGAGCGAAACTTGAAAGCAGGGAGGGCAGCAGGTCAGTCCAGCAGGTCAGTCCAGCAGGTCAGGGTCACCCTGGGAAAGGCTCCAAGGGGACGGGGTGGGAGAGTTCCAGAGGGAGCAAAGGGGAGGCACAAACAGAGGGTGGAACCCCAGTGAAAGTGTTTAGAGGATGGATGGATGGATGGATGGATGGATGGATGGATAGGTGGAGAGAAAACTATTTTGATTTGGTCTGAGGCTACACATAAATTGTTTTATATATTCACTGTAACGACCCTGATTTACTCTCTAATTGTGGAATTTTGGAATTGCTGTCCCTCTGTGGTGCCCATTGAAGGCCCATTCTTGATTCCATCACCTTCTTTCTGATGGAGCTGCTCAGGGGCAGGGTGAGGAGGAACTGCAGGCAGAAGGCACCAGTGTTCTGTCCCTTGTCAGTGAGCTCCAGGCACAGAGGGGTCACTGCCCTCGCAGCAGCCCGGTCAGGGCTGTGTGGTCCCAATCCCATTTCTGATTCCTGCGAGGCCTGGGCACAGACTGAGCCCTTCATCTGCCAGAAAAGAGCTGGGCTTTGCGTACTGTGCTCTGGAATGAGCCCCTCGGAGGAACAGGCCCCGTAAAGTTTTTATAACCCATATTTTATAGGGTACAGTGGTCGAAAGGAGTTTTTTCATGTGTGTGTGTGTGTGCACGTGAATCAGGCCCATACACAGGTCATTCAGCCTGGCAGGGCAGGCTGGACCACAGGCCCAAGTGCTGCAGAATTGACCCCAAAGATGTGGATGAGAGCAAATCCCTGGGAATGGAACAGCACCAGGGGTGTCCAAGGCCAGGTTGGACGGCACTTGGAGCAACCTGGGCTAGTGGAAGGTGTCCCTGCCCATGGCAAGGCTGGAACAAGAGGATCTTTAAGGTCCCTTCCAACCAACCCAAACCATTCCTATGAAATGCCTACTGGTGACTACTTGGAAAAACTCCTGTTGGCAACCTGGGCTCGGTGCAGGTGAGGTAACCCTGAGCCAGGCTCTGAGAAATTGGGACATTTCAAACATAGCCATTTAAAGCAGGTTTAGAACTTGCATTTTAAGGAGCCACACGTTCAGCCTCCAAGGCTGGAAGGGTCTCCACCCTCCTCCATCCCTTCTGCTGCAGGGGTGACCATAAGGCTGATGTGCCCCATGAGCCCTTGGCCCACCACAATGCACCTTGGTGTGCACAGAAGGTGTGAAAGCTCCTCTTAGAACTCTCTGTGGAAGAATTCCATAAAGTTGCCTCCGATGCCAGAACTGCAAGATGGGGGAGAATTTGCTCCCAGTGTTTTGTAGTTAAAAAAAAAAAAAAAAAACAACAACCCCCAAAACATGATTCTGCAACACTAATTTAGACATGGTGAGGATTTTAGGGGTTGTAAGGAATATTACCTGCCATAAAGTTCCAGTGGTGTTGAATTTACAAAAAAAAAGGCCTGATGTAAAATCATACTGTCAGGAACAATTAGCCATGGTGCATAAAAAACCTCTTACAGAGATTACACTTCCCAGATTGTTTTACAGAAAAACTTTGTGTTAATGTTACGCTTTGAATGCCTTTTGCCATGAAACATTTAAGAAACAACAGTTTATAGTCTCTGATCTTTACGGTTTGGAAGAATGAACACTCTCCTCATGTTAGGCCAAATTGATGTTTTAAATTCAGGAGAAACCCCATCATGGTATAAAAAGGAGAGAATGTCCTGAGAAGAAAGTGGTCAAATCATTCCAAGATGTTATGGGTTTAAGGGTTTTTTTTCAGCTTTTTTTTTTTTTTTTTTTTTTCCTACGGAAAAATTTTCACGATCCTGGGCATATGGTCAAAAAACACAGGAGTGAGATATTTTTAGACAGGCACATTTGGGATAAAATTACCCACTCTGGTGTGCACAGGGGCAACCTGGTCTGTCTGCAGCGCTGGCATGGATGCATGCAGGACACTGTCCCTCCTCTGCACGTGGTCTGGCTCAGGAACAGGCAAGGAGAAGATGGAATTCTTCTTCTTCCACGTTATCTGACCCACTGTGTCTCCTCTGTGGCCACGTGTGTTCCCCACGGCAGGCTCAGGGGAGAACCACTGACCACCCTGGTGTTCTGGTGAAGGACTGAGCACGCACATCCCCTGACTCACCCACGGCAGGGAAAGGGGCTGAGCAAGGGGGTTCCCGGGCAGGTGGCGGACCCTCCTGTGCCTCCCACCACCTCCTGTCTGCTCCTGCAGCTCCAACCCCCTGCAGGGATTGGGGATCCAGCTCTCTCAGACTGGCCTGGAGTTTCTTTCCAGCCCTGTCAGCACCCGCAGCCAAGGCATCCCTGGCAGCTCGGGCTGGGTTCTGTTTGGCCTCACGCATCATCACCAGCCCTGCCAGTTAATTGAGGAGGAGGGTGATGATGTGTGAGGCAGAAAAAGCCCAGCCTGGCCTTCAGGTGCTGGGCACAGTCACTGCAGAGGCAGGGAAAGGGCTGTTTGTGAGTGTGACCTGGGAATCCTTGAGGCTGGAGCAGGGCTGGACTCGGTGGGATTTGCTGCTCGGCCACGGGTGGGGCTGAGTTACTGAAAGCTCCTGCAGAAAGGGGTTTGTGTCACTGTGGGCTGTGCTAACACACAGATAGAGCCTCAGTCTGGGTGAGAATCCTCCCCAAACAGAGGCGTTCTCAGCCCATCGAGGGCTGCCCGTCAGCTTGGCCTGGCTGCTGAGAGCCACCTGGAGTGCTTTGGGTTGGAAGGGGCATTTAAAGGTCACCTGGTCCCCTCCCTCTGCCACCAACAGGGACATTGCTGACCAGACCAGGCTGCTCAGAGCCCCCTCCAACCTGGCCTTGACCCGAGGGTCATGTCTCCAAATCCCCACAGTTCCCTGACCCCTCGAAGCTGAGATATCTGGGTTGACCGGACTTTTGGTGACTGCCCTGGAATGTGCTGATCCAAAGGGTTTGGTTCTGCACCCCAAGGCTCTCCTGTGCCCCCCTGGCCCCCAGGAGCTCCAGGGCATACAGGAGGTCTCCATTCTGCTGCAGGAGGGACACCTCAGTGTCCCTGGGGTCACAGCCCCACGTGTCTGGGGGTGTCTGGGGGTGTCTGGGGGTGTCTGGGGGTGTCTGGGGGTGTGCACATGCCTGGGTGAAGGTGCCTCCCTGGAGGGTCCTGCTTTGGTTTAGTTCTCTTTAAGGGGTGCCCTGGTCTTGGTGGGCACACAGCTATTTTTAGGAGTGGCCAGCAATACCCTGGCATCAGATTAATAAATACATACCAAGATGAACTCTTGTGTGGTATTTTCAGTTCCCACCACCCCATATTAGGAGATGTGGGACCAAAATAACTGCCAAAGCCTATAGCCATGCAAAGGACACGATGTAAACTGCAGGGCAGGGCACAGGCCAGGGTATGAGCACCAGGGATGCTCAAAGGCCACACATTTTCTGGCAGCAGTGGGAAAGCCAGCCAGCCACACAGGATCCTGGGATGTGTGTGCAGGTGAGCACCCAGTGTGTGCTGGTGCAGCCCAGAGTTTGCAGCACAAGGTCTGACATCACGTGCTGTTTCTTTGAGCTGAGAAGAAAAGGTTTTTCAGGATGGAACCAAACCACGTCAGGCTTTGGGTTTGGACGTGGCTAAGCCAGACATTGGTCCATCCCCGTTTCCAAGGGTTGATGGCATCACATGCAATCCCAGTCCAACAAACACTCACGGGTGTGGAATGAGCAATGTGAGTAAAACCAGTGAGACCCTCCTGGGACTCCAGTTATTCTCCTGTCTGGAGGTCCAGGTTTGCATCCAACACACAGGAGAGGCAGAGAAGGAAGGTGTGTGTCCATGAGGAGTGAAAGGCTAGAGGGAGCTGGTCCTCTCTTTTGATGTGGGATTTAAAGTGACTTGTGCTGCTCAGGAAGGCCAGGACTGCATCCAAAGCTGACTGATACCAACAGTCTTTCAAGGAAAGCTGGATTTTTGGGCTGGTCCTCATGATGTGGGATGAACTCAGTGCTTGGACGGTGGTGATGAACACACAGAAAATCAATTCTGAGCCCTCCTGAAAATGTTACTGATTGCTCCTTTTTTATCAGTTTATTTATAAAACCTCAAAGTCTCATCCCAAAAGGCTTCACAAGACACTCTGAAATAGCACAATTGTACTTGTTTGTTAAAGCCCCTGAGGGCAGACGTAAGTTGGGCACTGTGCCTTCCAGGTGGGGTTGCTCCAGAGGAAAACAGGAGTGCCAGGAGCGCTTCTTTCAACTTCAGATGATGTGATATATTGGTCAGGCCTCAGAAGCTGCAGTGATTCCTTATTTCTGTAGCTTTGATCTAAAAAGCTGTTTATTTATGTTTTATTGAACTATAAACCATCCAGTAAACATGCCTTGTGCTTTTTTTATGTTCTACATGAATTCTGTTGTGAAAACGTCAAGGAGAAACGACGAAGATCTTTATTGTGCTGCTGCTGGTGTCTTCTTTGGGAGTTCTGATGCTCTGTGTTTCTGCTGGTAGGAGTGGGGGATTCATAAGGGCTGCAGATGTCCTGCCTGCTGGGCAGCTGGGGGAGAAGGAAGTTTTTCCTTATGAAATCCCAGTGGATACAGCACTGAGGGCACTGTGAGAAAATGATGGTTTGATATTTCCCTTTGGATTCCACTTGGTACTGTCTCTGTCTCATATATACATATCTATCTCATATCTGGAGGTATTAATTATTGTGGTGGGATTTATGTTCTGTTCTTAATTACTTGTGAGACATCCTCACTTGAGGGCTTGATCCTGACTTGCAGGATCTCACAGCAGCCAAAAAACTACATTGAAAAGCTGCTCAGAGCCTGGAGCACAGGCTCACAGCACCAAATCCCTGGGATAAGAGGTTCCAGGTTTTTAGAGCCTCAGTGATATCCCAAATTCCATAGCAGTGCTTCCTTCCTGCTTAAATGTAATACCTCCCACTTATTGTATAACACAATATTCTCATCAGTGTTGTTTTAATAAAGCTGAGGAATGAATTTGTAAATGCCACGTGTGCCTAATTGCTCTGTGCTGTGTGTTAACCTGGCACAGGAGGAATTAACCTTCCCTGATAATTACCAGGTGGGCTGTGGGCTGTTTGCAGCTGCACTGGGGGTTCTCATGAGGCAGGTGGGAGGGGGTCTCCTCCTTTTGCTGGTGCTCCTCTTGCCCTGCAGGCTCCTCAGTTCTGGAGCTCCAGGTACGTCTCCTGTTGGCACATCCAGGTCTCACCACTTCTGCTTTTTATGGTGATTAATTTATTGGGTGTTTTTTCAGATTTAAAGGACTCTCATCTTCCCAGCACACAGGAGACCAGAGAGCTGTGAGCAAAGCCTGTCCCCACGCTGGTTGAACAGGTCAGTGTGTGTGGGAGAGAAGTGGGTTAAGTTGGGGGTCAGCAGTGAGAAAATTTGGGTGTCTGGGCTACTTCCCACCCAAATTATTATGGCCCAGCATCTCAACCATGGAGTGTGGTGCCAGGCAGGATCTGGGTACTGTGTTGTTGGTCCTTCCCCTACAAAATGTGCTGTTCCAAGGCCAGTGTCACCAGTCCTTTTGGGGTGCTGGAGCAGGAGTGGTTCAGAGATGTGAAAGTTGGCTTCCCATCCGCTGGCACGGGGAGCAAAAGGCTAATTCCATTTTACAGTCATCTTTGTACCAATATAGTTTGTGTGTTGTGTTTGACCTCCTGTAACAAGGTTAAACCACAGGGATCCCCTTGAGAAGTTGCTATTCATCTTTTATATGTGAAGATTTTCAAGTATAGAAAGGGGATAAACCTAATACGGTGTTTAATGGGAAAAAATTATGACACCAATAACACATCTGTGTCTGTAATTTCACAGGTTTTCTCTCTGTATATTTATATATGTATATATGTATAATTTAATATCAGCCTCAGGGTTGTGGTCTCACATGTCATCAGCTTGCAGGAAACTGGATCCTTGGGCTAAGTATCAGATGAGTTGCTAATGTTTGGAAAAAAAGCAAAAAAACATGCTTTGGGTCTCTGTTTTATGGCTGTTATTGAAGTAAGAATTTGTGATTGTAACCTGACGCTCGCCCTGCCAACATGTTTTCATTATTGTCTGGATAATTGAAAGTCCAGGCAAATTTGGGTGCTGGGAGATGTTGCACATGGAGGGCTTGGTGCTCACCCAGCTGAGTGCTGGGGTGGTTCATGTGAAGGATGAATATGTTTCAGCACTGAAAGCAAGGCTTTAAAGACTGTTTTATTCCCCCCCAGCAGCAGCCCTGCTGTGGCTGATTAATCAGTGCTCAGTTTATCTCCAGTTCTGGTTACCCAGCACGGGCTGTCACACACAGCTCTGCTCTCTCACAAGCAGCAGTTTGACTTCTCGGGCTTATTTTGTCACAGTTCAGAGTGAACTCCCCATGAAAATGTGTTATTCCCTCCTTGTGTAAGAAATTGTGCCAAGGGAAAGGAGCTTCCCTTTGTGGCAGGACTTCTGGGAAGGGTTGTGAGCAGAACCTTTCTGTTCTTGGAGATGCACCTGTAGAAAGAAGCTGCTGGATCTCCACCAGCTTGGAAAAGGAAGCTTAAACATTTCTGTCCTTACCCCAACCCCTCCCTCAGTTCTTGTAGAATTTCTGCTTGGTTTTGTTTGTTTATGCAAAAAGGGATGGTCCTGGTTCGGGTGGTGACTAAAAAAAACCCAGAATCTTGGTTTGTTGGCAGGAATTGGTATTTAGTGGAAATCACTGTAGCTGGAAGGGCAGACGATGGGGTTTGAACCAAAAGGTGGTCCCTGTGTCAGTGAGACACGATGACAGGGGCACCTCTGTGCCACAGTCCAGGCCTGTTCCTGTTCCATGGGTAAACACATGATTCAAATCCCCAGGATTTATGGATGGAGCAGTTTCCCCACGATGTGAACTCCAGAGCTGACACACACAGAAAAAGGTAAATGAGGTTTGGGAGTTAATCCCTATTAACTGGGCATAACTGGGAAATTAAACCAAACACAAACTTTGGGTGGCTTTGGAAAACACCTTGGGACTCTGCTGCCAGCTCTCTGGATCCTTTAATTAGATGCACGTGTCTGTGCTGACAGAAAAGCAGGGCTTGGTCACTCATTAATCTTCACACACAAGAGGCAAGTGGTTGAGTGCGGCCCACGTGAGACAGAGCTGCTTAGTGCTGACCCACTGCTTGGGGAAAAAGCCTTTGAACAGTTGGGAAAAGCCAACTCCATTTTGAGTTCTGCAAGGAACTAATTACCTGGCTGGACTCTCCCCACATACCAGCTCCTACCCCCATAAATCCCAGGAGCAGCAGCCATCCACCAACGTCCTCCACACTTCTTTTCTGAATCAGGTCCTTTATGTGTATCTCAACTTGCTGGTGGAAGATTCATGGCCCAAGCTGCCCTAAGTATTTTTGTTATGAATAGGAACCCTTAAACATTTCCTTCTCATTTAATTTATCATTTTTTTTTCAGCCTTTCAGCGCTGGGTACAAGCTAGAAATAATGGGAGGTGAAGCTTGTCCCTGAGAAAAGAGCCTTAAAATAATAAAGTGTACACTGGGAAGGGGAGGAGAGGGGGGAAATAGATTACCCATTCCCAGCAGTACAATACCAGTAACACCAGCGTCCCAGTATTGAGTTGGCTCCATGTTTTGGGGCTCGAGGAGAGCAGAGAGGTCCCTACTCACTGTGGGGATGTCCCATACCCAGAGGTACCACAGCTCGTTCCTCTTCCCCAGGGTACTTGTTAATAATTAATTAAGTACTGGTGATTTACTTACACTGGCACCAGTGGTTTGGGTGTGTTTTTTTTTTGTTTTGTTTTGTTTTTTTGCCACGTGGGCAGGGAAAGTTCAAGCTGTGGTTTGAATTAGGGGTTCAAACAAATCTGCTCAGCTCAGAAGGAAACGGAGTTGAAAACACTGCCTTCCTCCCAGTCAGGTATCCCAACAGAAAACTGGGGAGATTTCACTTGGAAATGGATTGTGGGTTTATTAATACTTTTAGTAACACATTTTACAGCTTGGTGTGCCATTCAAGTTCATAACAGAGCACAAAACATAATAGTAATAATATTTAGAGCCTAAAGTGGAGCTGTGTTTGGAGTAAGTTCACTGTTCGTGGCATCCTGAATGGAATAAGAAATGACAAGATTTGAGAAAAGCAGATGATGTATAAAATAGGCTGTTCCAAGTGTACAGAAATCCCTTGAATTATACAGTGGGCAAGACCTGTGTGCTCATGTGTATGGAACAAGTTTGAGATGCGAGTCCTGACCTATTGCTTCGTGTGCAGTTGGGCCCGTGAGTGAAATAACAGACTACTTTTCTCAGCTGCTGAAAGCCCTTTTTTAGGGGCAATTTGGTTCCCTGCCTTTTCAAAGGGAAATTTTATCCATCTTATTTTTCACTGTGTTCTGTTTACTGGTGACATATGGACTTACAAATGTGCAACTCGTCACCAGAGCGGGGAGGACCCTTCCCGTGAGCAGCTGGGGAGTGCCATGTGCATTTTCGGGAGTTCCAGGGGAAAAACAGACACTTTTTTCCTCATTTAGCCAAATTGTGCTTTTTTTCATAACTCAGTGACAAACCTGCAGTTGTCCCTGGGGAGAGCAGCTCTCCCCTTGTGGGTGAGCTCCCCTTCCTCCTGGTGTGTGCCAGGCAGTGCCTCTGCTGCTCGGGTGCTGCAGCATCTCTGCCAGGCCAAGTGCTGGGGATGAGGGGCCTTCCCAGAGCTCCAACCACCCCCAGGGCTGCTCTGCTTCCCACTGGCTCACGAGAACACTTTTCCCTGCCTGTTCCAAACCAGGGGAGGCTGAAGACAGCCTGTGTGGTTTCATCTAATCTGGTGCTGGAACTCCAAGCATCACGTCGGGTGGCTGTGATTTGGAATGTTAACCACTAAATCACTTAGAGGAATTTATAATTCACCTCAGCTATTGTGGGCTTTGGTACAATAAGATCATTATTGCCTTGAGATATCCTTCAGGTCATTAATTTAAATTAGAAATGCCTTCAAACAGGATATTGTGCACGGCTCCTTCCATAGATCTTAAAGCTTAAATAAACTCAAGAAATACTTCCTGCCAGATATTATCTTGGCAAATGTGGATCCCCATTTCCAAGCAGTGAAATACCTGGCTGTGGTTGTTGAAGGTGGCATCTCATTACAGGGCAGATGAATTAATGGGGCTAATTATTTTTGCTGGTTTGAAAGGACCGAATTCTCCTTTAAGCGAGTCACTTGTCACTGTTGTTTAGGGATTTTACACTGGAAATGGGGTGGTTTGTTGCATAACTGGATTCAGACTAAAATAACTGTGACCTTGTAAATGAGGTGGATGTTCCCTATGGAAGACAACTCTTGGAGTAGTGGGGCTGTGGTGGGGAGCAGGAGTTGGAATACTCAACAGGAGAGAGCAGTGTGAGGTGGCAAAGTGCTAAGGCTGAAGGAAGGACTGGGGGAGCTGGATGTGATGGGTGAAAGAATATCAAAAAATGCCTTAAAGATCTGATGGGTGGCAGTGTGAATGTGCCATGAGCAGAGCTCAGGGACTTGGCCTCTGCTCCATCACCCAATGCAGCAGCAACCTGACTTAGAAAACCTCACCCCAAAACTTAATATTAAACTGTGCTGCCAGGATCAGCAGGAAGGATTCATCAACATTTAAATTAACAGTCCTGTCAGCTACAACTCTGGGTTTCTTAGTGGTTTCAGTCAACTGTTCCAGCCTTTGACTGTTATTTCTTTCAGAGCCTGAATTTCCCTGGTCAGAACTAGGATTCCCTCCCATCCATGCTTTCTGTTTGACCTGTGTTTTGAGAGGAGGACTGAGCTGTCACTGCTCCAGGCATCTGCAGAAATCCAGCGTGTGGGGCTGAGCATCCAACCTGCTGATTGCAAACGTAGCTGCAGAGGTGTCTGCAGTGAGTGTTGGGTGATCACAGAGCACCACGAGCTTGGGCAGCTCCGAAATCCTCCCAGGGCTGAGCTGGGAACCTTCATTCCCAGGAAGTGATTGCTCCAGCCTTTGTGCCCTTGTTTTAATGACGTTTTTGAGGTTTCCTGGACAAGTTGCTGCTCAGTGCTGAAGAAAGGCGTTCGTTGTCTGGTCCAGCTTGTTTCTTAGAAAGGCTGATGGCTGCTTGTGGACTTACCTGACTGGATTTTGCTCTCTAACCACCCAGAGCTGCCCCAGTCCTCCCTGTTGTCTTCCAATTTCTTGGCTAAATGGGGAAAGGAAAGCTCCTTGGCAGCTTGCCACGCCAAGCCCCCCCAGCCCTGATTTATTATCACCAAAACCAGCTGCAGATGTTGGCTGGGCCAGGGCTCTGCTGCCAATTAGGGCGTCTCATGCAGAGATTCCTGCTCGGTGTGCCTGGCATTCAGAGCAGAGCCTGGCTGAGGGGACTGGGGCTCTGCCATAAAAAGGCAGTTTAAAACCAGGGAAAATAGGTTTCACCTGGGCAGGTAGTGGCTGGTGGGAGGAGGAGGAGGAGGCGGCTGGGTGAGATTTTGGGGATTTTGGCCATTTCTCAGGTCTTTGGCTGTGCTAATGAACCCTGAAACTTCACACTGGGACTCACCCAGCCCCTGGGTGGTTTGGGGGCTCAAAATTCATGTTGGGTTCACCGAAAGTCTGTCTGAACACTCCTGTGCTGAGAAGGAGCTTGCAGTGAAGTTGGGCTGAGCTTTCAGCAGTCACCCAAACCTCCTCCCAGCCCCTCTGCCTGGGGGAGCACCTGGGAGGGTGTGTTTGGGCTCTGAAGCCATTTTGGGAATGGGAGCAAAAGTGACTTTCAGGGAACTCTTGTATGGGAACAGCATCATTTTCAACCATGAAAAGTGGGGAAAGAGATGAAAATGTCTGTAAAGCACAGACCAGCTCAAGTTAGATATTTCCTTCTGCTGTTAATCCAATGTTTAAATCAAACTGGTCACAAATCTAGATAATCTGACTCAAAATTAGGCTGATATAAAACATGATCCCTTTAATCCCTTTATTCTACTTCTATTACATTTGGGGCCTATGATCTTTGTTGCAATTTCAACCATAATTTCACAAGACTGCCTTTCCAGTGCTCTACATGTTAGAGCCACACGACCTATTATACTAAAAAGGCTGGTCTATGTATTATAAACATGATGAATATCACCAACTTATATTTCAGTGCTGTGTGTAGCACTGCAATTGCAATTTGACAAAGTTAAACGCAGCTGAAAACTGTGTGAATTAAATTGGGATAAAATTACCAGAGTGTAGAGTGAAATGAATGTGTGAAAAAACTGTGGAAGAGTAAAATCTGAGAGTTTTAATCACTGATCTCATTAGCACCTGTGATGGAAGGATGCTTCTTTGGGTAAAAGCAGTTGTGTCCCTTTTAGCCCCAGTAATAAGCTTAAATAATTTACTTTTCCTCAATGCAGTGTTTTTAACGTTGTCTGAAATTCAGCAGAACAAAATCTGAAAGGTTTCTGCTACTAAATAGTTCTCACAGCCCTTCTTAACATCGGGTTAATATTTATGCTGTGTCCTGAGATTTTCTAAAAACAAATAAATAGAAAGCCCGGAAAACCTGAACGAGCCTTTTCCTAAATATTTACCCCTTCTACTGCCTGCCCTTGTCCATCTCTCTATGCTTGCCGTAATTTTTTAAGTTAATAGGAAATAAATAAAATCTTAGAGTGTTAGTTTATAACTCCTGTCTTTTCAGCTCTGGATATTTGATTTAAAAGCAGCTCGTGGTGACCTCCCCGGGTATCAAGTGTTGAGTGCTCCAAATGAAATGCAAAAGCTGAGCTCACCACTTGGCCAACTGGAAGGAGTTCCTTGGGTACACGGGCAAGATCAGAGCCCATTAGCAACCAATATTAGATTAAATGAGACTAAACATTACCCAGTGTGATTTCCCTGCTCCGGAGCGGTTTATTGTTGCTCTAATGCAAAGCACCTCCTCTCTGCAGCGCTCCGAGTGTTTAGTCTCTCCCGGGGAGCTCCCGGAGCTGGGCACAGGATGCTTGGAGGGGATCCTGCAGATTCAGGGCTTATCTGCACAGCAATCTGATGCCCCGGCCCCAGAGGAACAGAGGGAAGGAAACCCGATGACTGGGCTTTACTCGAAGTTAATAGCGACATAAAAGCCTCGATTTTCCCTTTCAAGGTTTGAAATGTGCTTCGCGGGGAAAACGCGGTGTCGCCTTTCCCTCGGGCACCAAAGGGGGGGGCAGGCAAAGCCCTCAGAGCATCACAGCTCCCGGACCCCAGACGGGCTGGGAGAGGGGGATGTGTGAGCAGGGCCACAAACACACACCGGGGGAAATCAGGAAAACCACCTGGATGCTGCCCGAGACCCCCTGGCCATGGCCCTGGGCAGAGCTGTCCAGCCCTGGCTGTGCTCAGCGCAGGGGACGAGGCTCCGGGAGAAGGATCCTTGCTTTGGTTTGGCTGTGCTTGTTCGTGGGACTGGGAATAGGTTCCTTCCAGCAGGAGCTGCTGTCTGCCAGTGGGACATGTTCCCTGGGCTTCAAACACTGTGGCAGGGCTGATGGGTGTCGGGGGCCTCTCTTAATTCTCACTGGCTCTCCAGTGGAATGACACGAACGTGCCCTGCTTTCTTCCCA